AACAGCAGCAGCAGCAGCAACAGCAAAGCGAAAAAAGTCCACCAACTACATCGGGTCAAGCTCAACAACAACAACAACAACAACAACAACAACAGCAACAGCAGCAGCAGCAACTAGACCAACAACAGTATCAGCAGCAACAGCAACAGCAACAACACGAACAACAACAACAACAAATTAGCCAACAAGCCCCACAAATCCAACAATCGATTTGTGGCAGCATTAGTGCTCCCACGCCCATTATACCGACACCACCTGAACGCGGTTTACCGCCAGCTTTCCGCAGCCGTTCTATAGAGCGTGAAATACTATACGAACGCAAACGGTATTCGGCCCCGGAGACAGCCGAATCTAAGGTAACTCCCTGCCAGAAACTCTAAATATAATCGTGCGCTTTTCCTTTGCCAGTAAAAGCTCAAGCAAAATAAACTAATCAACGCTTGAACTGACTTTGCAAAGCAAGTTAAAGTCTCTAGTTAATCTGATTTCTTGCTTCCACAATTAAAGTCCGAATAAAATGACAGCTCGTTTTATTTTTTAGGTCAACCTTTGATTACTCTCTGCAAGATTGATTTGCATTATTTACGTACAATTCTGTGAAAAGCAATTTAAAGGCCAGCGTCATGCTTCTATTTCAGCACTAAAGTGTAAATAATCTATAAATGTCTACCATAATTAGGGTAAAATTTCTAGTTTTAATGCAAACTGGATTTGCTTTACATTTCAAGTTCCTTTAATGTTTTGGCGAGAGAACGCTCGTTCGGTTTACGTAATGAGTGTGGCAAACGCAATGAATCGGATGCAAATTTTCAGATGCATACATTTGGTGTTAAGAGAGAGTAAAGATGCAAACCAAATTAACTGGAAATGTTGCCGACAGTCAAGGGCGACTCCATGATGTCCTACACCATTACTTTTCTTATAAGTTATCAGAAATTGGATTTCCTTCTTCTATAACGATTCACTTTTCATGGGATCCACTTAATTGAAAAGGAGTCCAAAGTAGATCCGTATGTTGCAAAATTTACTTTAGTAAATTATATATCAAATTACTATGATAGATCAAAGCTTTTTTCAATATGCAGATCCACTTTTTGCAAGAAAGTTTGGACGAGAGGATGTACAGCAAATGGTTGTCTTCCGTTAAAATATTTTGTATGTAGATATACGGTTTTTCGAATAACACTGACTTTTGAAAAATATTTTTTTTAAAAATACATTGATATGTGGCGAGTAATTCACTCGCCTTTCACTAACATCCATCCAATCCTTGTACCAGCACCTATTAAAATACCGATCTTTACCAAAATTTCATGAAAAATTCGATTTGTAAATTGCAAGCTGAATACATACAGCACATGGATAGGCGGGTAGACAAGAAGACGACGCTGAAAACGATATTGAACAATAAATTCCTCGTCCCACCTTTAGAACAATATGGATGTGTGTAAAAGTCTTACCTATCGCTCTTGGCGGTGCTACCTTTCAGGCGAATGTGCACAAACATTACGCCTTTTTGTTCTTTTGCTTGCAACTCTTCCTGAGCATTAGCACGCTTAATGGTGGATAGGAGACGTACACTGGTTAGTTGGTTATTTGAAAAAAAGAAAAAAAAAATCGTTTTTCACACAATAGATGCAACGACCGATCCATAAACCGAATAGAGGCAGGTTATTATTAGCAAACCAACATCTGACACTAGCTAATGGCATAAGGATGATATTGAGTAAAATTGTCTTTCGGTTTTTTTTATTTTTTTTTTTACATGGTTTTGCACTTTATTTTGATAGGCGTTTACATACTTTTTCAGAAAGCGCTAAGCACGACACCATCACCGCAGGCTATAGCTGGACCGCCGCCTCCTACACCTTCGGTGGTGGCGGGCCCGCCGGCAACAGCAGCAGCTGCTACAGCTGCTATAATACCAATTTTACCACTGGGAGTTGCCACGCTACGTGATGACTCCACAGAATCCGACCAATCCGTGACCTGTTCACAGGCCCAGCCAGATGCCTATCATCGCATTATGTAAGTAAAACATATCTTTCTTTACCCTTTAATTTAAAAACAAACTCTAAAAGTCTTCTGCTTAAAATCAACTCTTTTTTTTTTTTGGAAAATTTAAGGTGAAAAGTAAAAAATGAAACAAAAACGAAAAGGAGCAAATTGCAGCATTCTAATAAAATATGCTCTTTCCAAATTGAATTTAAATTAAACAAAAAAAAAAACCCGACCTGAATTGCAATCAAGTTTCCTTAGGTAAAACTTGATCCTTTCATATCTGAATTCAATGCCTACCGTTTGTAGGCGAAGCCAACCAACTAAATACATGCATTTTCACTCTTGAATAGCACGCTCTTCGTATTATTTATGTATATGTGTATAGTTTTTATTGCTTCTATTTGATACATTGCGGTGTATTTACATATTTTCAACTTGAAATATGATAAAAAGCATTACTGTCACAGCCTCTCTAACTTTAGGTATATATTAATAAAATTTTTTAGAATAATACAAAAAACATGTGAGAAGAGAATGAAGCAAAATATAATAAATATGCCACTCAGTACTTATTATATTATATACTACGACGATTGCACCAGCATAATGTTTATCATCATTACTGTCGTCCATCGTCATCAACGTACGAATTGCAATCATTTAACAAATTATATACGTCATCAAATATGCTCTACTTTTTACTGAGGTCACCCCCTTTTATTTTTTCAACTTATATACGCATGCATGTACATACACATCCAAGTTTAGATAATATATATAATTTTGTTCTCGCATTCGGATTCTCAAAGGAATGTGTGTATGCGTCTGTGTATGTGTGTGTGTGGGTGTGTGAAAAATTAAAATTTATTTTGAGGTCCTTCTTCCTTTTCCTGTTTTTTTTTTTTAATTCGATTTCAGAATTTCATTTTATTGTCGGTTTTCTGACTGACTTGGCTAAGAATCTCTTAATAAAATGGGATCCGTACAAAAATAAACAAACCGTAGCATTTTGAGGAATCCAAAACGTAAACCTATTCGGCTAAAGAGAATGTGGAGCATAGATACTACGAGAGCGGCCATTAGAAGAGAAAGATGAGAAAGCTTAACCATTTAAATTGTGATTTCTGCACATATGTGTTTTATTAAAGCTTTAAATAAAGAAGAAATTAAGCTTTTATTCGAAACTTCTGCAAAAAATTCAGTTACGATTTAAACTTAAACAAACACGAAAGTAATACGCTATCCATAAAAGGAATTTGGAACTTCCTTCTACTAATGATGGTCGTATCAGTTCACTAATTATACATGAAATTAATATATATTTTTTTACTCCTTTCGCCGGAAAGCTCACCGCAAGGACTTAAAACGAATATATAAAATTTCATACTTGATCTCATTATTATGATTGTCGATAGGAAAGTAACGAAATCGTATTACGATATAATGCATTAGCGGTTTTTAAACTTTAGAAAGTTAGTTATGCTTAGCTAAAAAAGCTAAATAGGACTTAATTTTTAATAAAAAAAAAAAAAAAAATCACTTTAACTTAGATAGCTATGACAAAAATAATAAAAAAGTCTCCGAATGCCGGTTTTTACTTGTATTAAAAAAAATCTGAAGCCAAAATCGCTTACTACTACTATTATAAACTGAGAGCAGCAAGCCTCAGAAGCAGTAAGCCTCAGCTCTATTGCTTAGCAGATCATGTAAACAAAATATGTGAACATTGAAAAGAATATATGTTAAGGCAAACATTTTTCTGAAATTCATTAGAAATTTTCCTCTCAGAGATTACCGTTAAATAGCTAAAAAACAATTACAGAAAAATACTACGTAAGTCAACAGTTAGGTAGGAATCGTAAGCGATGATTTTATAGAATTAGCAAAATCACGGATGTGTTTCTATAATCGTCAATATTCACATACAGAAGTCATTCCATTTCCTATGCTTACTTTGATTTGATAGGCTGATCTAAAAAAATTTGTAACCACCAGACATCTCTTACTTAGATAAACAAAGTAAACAAGCTGAAAGTACTTCCATGACATGGCTGTAGAAACATGACAAATAAAATAAAAAAATCGTTGGAAGATGTATGATATAGAATATAGGATGTACGTTTGTACGGATGTATATGACACCCAGAGGATGTTAAGATAGACCTATTTTGCATTGCAACAATCGAGTCAATGTCACTTTGTCTGTCTGTCCATCATGTTTATGTAGAAATTTTGAAGATATTTTAATGAAATAGGATACGCTGACATGTTTTGGGACGAGTACTACTAAAAATAGATTGAGCCGAGCCGATTTTTTCGGACGTTTCCCAAATGTTTCCGATATTATGAAAATCCCGTTATATGAAAAGATATTGCAATTTCCTAAACCTTACCACACAAATGGTTAAATATAACTAAGTTCTCCATATTGAATTGATGCCAAAAATTCCTATTGGATAGGTCCATTTTTGGAACCTTTGCTAATCTAATCGTTCCCACAAAAAGGCAAGCTTTCACGTGTCAAAACGATCTAATACTTCACATTTCGTATAATAGTAATTTGGCCTACAAATTAATTGTGTCAAATTTGGATTACTTAGGCCAATGGTTTGGCTCCACCCCACCCCAAATAAAAAATATCAATTAAAAGTAAGTCTTTATATGGCACAAAGTTATAGTGTTTGGTTTCTTATGGCAAAAGGAAATGACAAAGTGTATTAGGCAAAATGGTGATGACAATGTGATGGTGATGTGTACCGACAGTTTGAAAATGGCGCGCAATTTAAATTGACATATTTGTCTGAAAGCTCGTTTATATGAATGTACATGAATATGTATTGTAAATCAACATGAGTAGCGAAGTTCATTTAAAGCTATCGATCTCGCTGTTTTTTTTTTTTTTTTTTGAAATGAAGAAAAATCTGAAGCTAATAGTTGTAGGGACTCGTTTACTTGCTATAGCTTACTCGCGAATCTACTACGCCTTATCATTTAAGCATTTTCTGAAAATGTGGTAAAAGTTCAACAAGATAAGATAATTCATTCTATTTGTGGTTTACGTCTTTAGTAAAAACGCACCTTTACATTCTCGCCTTAATATAGCACATTTTACCATGAAGTAAAGAAAAATCCACAAAATAATTGAAAAAATTAAAAAACACAATATTTGCAAATACGCATAAATATATGAAGCAAACTACAGCTACAGCTGTAGCGCACAAAATGGAGAGAACTAAGAACACTCACGAGACGCGGAAAGCTTGATTATGCTTTGCTGAAAGCTAACTAAAGCCCTTTAAATTATATCAAGGAAAGTTTTTTTTTGTACTATACTCTGTACACTGAAAATTTTCCTCAACTATATAATGCTAAACAGATCTATATTTATGTTATTATAAGCGTATGATCCTTGATGATTAATGTTTATGTCTATTAATTTTTTCAATTTCTCTAATCGTTTTGTTTACCTCTCTGTACCGCACAATTGTAACATAAATCTTAGCAGAGACATCAATCGGCCTGAAAATGATTTTTCAGTTAGCAAAGACAAAAATTCGGTATACACGCGATGGGCGATGGGATGCAAGGTGGGCTAATTTTATGCCGGTCACGCTGCTAATATTTTCTATATACTACGCTACTTTACGACTACGTGCATTCCATTACATTGTCTTAAGAATCAGTTTAACCTCTAAATATGTTTTGTTAAATTCGCAAATTCGCATTTTGTTTGCTCTTTAAGTATGTTTTGTTATGGCAATGGCTTCCCACGCGTTGCATATTTGTGTGTAAACTATATACGTGAAGCAACAGTCATGCAACAGTATGTTTACAGCTACTAAATATGTTAAGTTTACATTTATAATTGTTTTCGTGTGTTTTCAAAGAGTATCACACGGTTCGTATACATCGTTGAAAGTATTGGTGTTTCTTTTTCAATTTACAATTTCATCACAATTCTCGAGACGAATAAAAAAAGTATTTCTGGGTGTATAGTCAGATATTTTTTTTGATCCATCTACGAATTAAAGCGTTGATTAGGCAGATCGTTCTGCTTTCATCAAAATGAACGGTCCAATCATCATGTCCGGTCATCAGGTCATGTGATGAAAGGGGTGTATACATTATCTAAATTTCCAAACATTTCGTTCATTCGTCGAGTGAAACCTTCTTTGTGAAAAATCAAACGAATAATGGACAAACGCTCAAAGTTTATTATACATATGCCCCCCTTCTACTCACTGAATATATCCCGGCTAATCTGTCCGCTTTAAGTTAAGTTTTTTTAGGTAACATTTTACGGTCGTTGTAGAAATTTTCTCTTTTTTCTCATCTTAGCTATCGTTAAGAAAAACATTGTCTTCTTTTAGCTGATTGAAATATTGATAGCAAAGGGAGCAAAGGGAGCAAAGGGAACGCCGCATATCACGATCGTTTTATATTTTGTTAATATGTTTTAGGAAAGCTCGACATTAATTCGAGAGAAATTTTATTATCGAGGTCTAAAAGTGAAGACAAACGCAATCTAAGTTACCAAATGGGGGATATTTGTTTATCTTATGTGCTTATTATACATAATTATATACAATGGATACTCTACTCTATGGAACCATGCCGGCGTATATGTGGTTTATCATTAAGTTAATGCTCTTCATTTGTTGTTCTTTTGAAAACGCGGGAGAAACCGTGTCCGTTGCCTTTCTTAAGCAGATGGTCGGCGTAGATCAAATTATTAAAGTAAAAGGAACAAATTTTTATTTTCTATAAAACACATAACAACGTTTAGAGCTTAAATGTTAAGGCGATGATTATTGCTCTTTGCTTTGGAAGTTGTGTCTCAAAAATGATAGCATAAGCATGTGTTCAAAGTGATTGTAAATGATGACACAGATGAAATGAATCTACTCTTCTCTGTAAACATTTAGAAAGCTTTTCGAAAGCTTCCTGGCTTTAATATATTTTGCTGTAATATAACATAAAGTGTTAAATTATCTTGTAATGTGTTTAAGAAAGCAAGCATATGACCGTTGAAACATTCAATACCGAACTTTTCACTTAACTACGACTATAATTGAGGAAGATTGTGCCTTTTCCACTATAAATGCTGAGAAACGGAAAAAACCGCGCTCAGCAAAGAACAACAAGCAACATTCGTAAATGAAAGTAAAACGTGCTTAACAAATACGTCTGGACCGCGTGTGTCGCCTCAAAACAAGACCGAAAAAAA